TTTAAAAAATAATAGCCGGACTGGGGACTGATTCTTCAGCAAAAATATTTTATGACCCAGCAGATTATTCACTGATTTGACATAGTCCCATTATACCCAGGCTAGAGCTCACACAGAGAATAACTTTGTACAGAACCTCTTTGCACCACTATGTGCATTGATAAGAATTTATGAACACATTGGAATTGTCATTTTATCTGAGGAATCCTGTATAGATTAGAATTCTGTATAGATTAGAGGATGCTGAAATGAATGATTTCTATGCCATATTTGTGCTGGTGTATATGTGAAGTCGTGCACTAAAATCTTTTGATACAGGAAGCCTGATTAAAGAATGGTCCGTGCTAAGGACTTGCTAGATCTAGTTCATTCTCCATTTAATAATTATATGCTATTTCTATATTTTCATTCTTCTATCATCTGTCTTGCCTTTTTCATTATTTTATTATGAAACTTATGTCAATACAATTTTGTTTCTTTACTTTTTTTCATAACATAAAATCTGTGAACTTGAAATTTGAACTTTTGTGTTAGAAATTTTTTTGTTGTTTGTTTAGTCTTGTCTCAGTTTTTATTATGTAAATCCCATTATTCAAAGCTGCCTAAATCCATTTGGAAATCTTTTTTAAAAATTGGGGATTCTTAAAGTTGAATTTATTGACTTTTCTGATTCAGTTTATTTTGGACCAAAAACCAGTATTGAACAAAGTATTAAGCATATATTTTTATATTTACTGAAATAGACTGTGATGACTTTGGATAATAAGGAAAAGTTTAATATTAAAGCCATGCTTATTGCAGTATAATTAACATGTTAAGCCATGGGATAAATGCCATCAATAAAAACTTATGTTGTAGAAAAAAATAATCACAAGCAAAGGCAGATGTGGTTCCCTTCTCCCCCACCCCCAACCTCAACCCTGCTAACAATTTTCAAGACTTCAATCATATTATTAGGCATATGATGGGTAAAAAATTCTCTTTAATGCAAAGTACAATTAGCATTATCTTATAAAAGATATTGGGTTATAAAGGCTAGAAAAACAATAGGTATCTGAAGAAGCAATTAAAATGCCTCAAGGTGAAACTGTCAGAACTGCTTACAGTCCTCTCTGAAATCACCACTTATGTACTCAAGCAAAAAGTAGTAAATTGGAATCAGCATGCATAATTTGGTAAGGAATTATAACTTTGATGAATAATACTAAAACAAATCTTAACCCAAGCTCACTTCTCGGCATAATTTGTGAGGCATTTCCAACCTCTCTAGACAACTCACACATTCTGCAATAGGTCTTACCACTGAATATTTTGTTATTCTGTTCTCTCTTCTACATATGTCCTTTCTTAGTAGTGGGTCCCCACACTTTACCAGTACGATGACCACATGTGTACCTGACCCCGAATTAGTACTCCACATTTCTAAAATACAAAAAAGAATGTCTGTTCCCAACAGTCAGTGCATGCAAAACTAACTCATCCTTTAGGAACAAGTTCAAATGTCACTTAAGACTTGAAGCTTTCTCTTATTCTCCATCTAGAGTAAACTCTCTTAAAAAGTCAATATTTCTTTTCTGCACACATTTTATTAGTAGCAACTGACATTTATTAAAAGATCACAATGTTCCATATGCTGTACTAAATTCTTCATATGCATAATTACCAACATAAAGTAATGTGCTGTTTAGTCCCCAACATAAAACTATGAAGTTGCAACCATTTTACAGAGAATTTGGAAGCTGAAGATAGTTAAATAACTCAAGAGTTGCACAGTTACAAAGTTGAGGAGTTTGCATTCAAACTCCTACCTTACAGCCTTGTAAGTTCATTGCACTGTTATCCTATATGAGGTTCTTACACTTTTTTTATCCCTAAGAATGGCTGGCACCATGTATGTCACATTGTGAAATACAAGAGCTATTCAAAGGATGTTATCTAGGTTGAAGAGTGACCAAGTGAGAAGAGTCTGTGACACACAAGATTATGAGACAGCCAGAGAACATCAGAAATTATCAAGGAAAATAGAAAATATATTTTCTGAAATAGGGTATACTCATTTTGAATAGTCAATTAAAACAAGGCAGTCAAAGTCATCATCAGTCAGATACTAAGGGCAATTATATAAAAGTATAAAAGATACTCAGGAAGAGAAAGAAAAAAGAGAATAACTTACCTGTTCATTTCACAAGGCATTAAACTAACCCACCAAGTTGAGATTTGCTTAATTTCATATCTTGGAGAAACATTACAGGTCAAAGAGTCTAATTATATAATATTTTTAGAATTCTCTACAGTATACCTGATGAGCTCCTGCCAGCCCCACCTTGAACTTGAGCTAATCAAACTTCATTTTTTTCAGTTCAGTGAAAAAAAAAATTGGAATAATCTTAATTAAGACACTTAATTCTTTTTTTTTTTCTGTTGAGTTGGGGTCTTACTCTGTGGCCAAGGCTGGAGTGCAGTGGCATGGTCACGGCTGTCATAATGTCAACCAGCTGGACCCAGGTGATCCTTCTGCCTCAGCCTTCTGATGAGCCACAGGGACTACAGGTGGATGCCCAGCTAATTTTTTTGACTTATTGTAGAAACAAAGTCTGACCATATTCCCCAGGCTGGTCCAGAAATCCTAGGCTGAGGCAATCCTTTCCCCTCAGCCTCCCAAAGTGCTGAGATGACAGGCACTAGCCACTGTGCACAGCCAGAAACTTCATTCTTCATGGTTTTCAGTAACTAAAAGTGGCATCTGAGGCTAAAAGTGAAAATCCATATTTTGAGCTCATTGTTGAATTGTGTACAGTGAACAGAGAAGGAAGCCTTGCCTTTGCGTTTCCAAACAGCCTGTAGAAAGGCAAGAAGCAAGTGGGGCCTTTTCAGAGACTGGGGCTGAAGTAGCTTTGTCCTGAGGCCCTGAGTATCTGGCCAGTTAGCCTGGATTCCTGATCTACGCACAGCCTGTGCAGAAGAGAGTGTTCCTTTGAGCTAGCCTTCATCCTTTACCCAGCAAGAGCCCACAAAAAGCATTTCTCAGAGCTGTCTGCACAGCCCGATTCCTTAGGCTATAAATAATAGGGTTAAGGACAGGTGTCACCACAGTATAGGTGACAGCAATAAGCTGATCCCGCTCAAGGGAGTAGCTGGCTTTGGGTCTTAAGTACATGAAGGAGGCACAGCCATAGTGAATAACGACCACGGTGAGGTGTGAAGCACAGGTGGAGAAGGCCTTCTTGCGCCCCTCAGCAGAGGAGATCCTCAGGATTGCTGCCAGGATGTAGGCATAGGAGATGGTAATGATGAAAAAGGAGACCAGGAGGACCAGCAGACTGAGGATGAGAATTCCCAGCTCACTGAGGTCTGTATCCCCACAGGCTAGGTTCAGCACTGGTGGGGTGTCACAAAAAAAGTGTTGAATTTCATGGGAGCTGCAGAAAGAGAGGCGGAAAATAACTAGCGTCATTCCCAGCCCAAAGAGGTATCCACTCAAGAAGGAGATACCAACCAGTTGGGAACAGAGGGTAGGATTCAGGCGACTTGCATAGTGCAGTGGGGTACAGATGGCCACATACCTGTCAAAGCCCATTACAGACAGAAGGAAACAGTTGGCACAGGCCCATGAACCAGAAAAGAACATCTGGGCAGCACAGCCCATGTAAGAGATAGTCTGAACCCCCAGAGCCAGGCCAGAGAGCATCCTGGGGATGATGCCCAAAGTGTAGCAGGTTTCTGAGAAAGATAGACAAGAAAGGAAGAGGTACATGGGGGTGTGCAGATGGCTATCCAGCCTGATGATGACAATAATAAAGACATTGCTGGTCAGGGTGACAAGATACAGACAGAGGAACAAAGCAAAGAGCAGGAGTTGCAGCTCTCCAAAACTGGTGAAGCCCAGGAAGACAAAACCTCTCCAGCAGGTCACATTGACCTGCCCCATTCTGAGTGACATGTCTGTTAGATTTGCTGATTTCTTCCACCTTGCCAGAAAATGCTTGGCTTCTTTAAAAGTCTGGATGAGAGGGATTTGTCTTGTGCCTGTTGTAACTTGAAAAAGAAATTCTGATTTAGACTGCAGTTAAACTTCTGAAGGGTATTCATCACAGTAGACACAAATGCATGGCTCCATTTTCACATGCATGCATGTGCATATACACTTATACAGTGCTCACACACATTCACATGCACACACTTTCACACAAACGTTACTCTGTATATGAGCACATAATTATGCACATGTTATACATTCAAAACCATCCATTGCACATTTGCTATCAATAACCATATGCACAGATATATCAGGCATGTACATACACTACAAACACATATGTATTCAAATAGCACACAAGTTTGTAGATACATACACTACATATATGTTCATACTGACTTTGTACATACACTGCCACATAAGACTACACATATGGACACATAGATCTTGCCTATTAGAATTTTGAGTTAAGGTAGAGGGGCTTGACAGATATTATTTTATAGATCAGGTAACAAAGGCCAGGAGAGGTGAAATGACTTTTTTGAAGTCACACAGAACCAGGACCAGAGAACAAATGTGGTAAGTCCTAGTTTAACTTGATTTTCACCATATAATGATGACTCTCTTCCAAGTCATTTTACTCTTTCCAAATTCCTTGGGCTGAGTAGGGCAGGCTCCTTTTACACATGAGTCTATGCTGAACACCAAAGGAATCATCATCATCAGGGCTCAGGGCAGGTTTTGCAGCAGGTATCCCTCAGCTCGAAGTTCAACCAGCAGGCTGCTGCCTCCCAAAAACTCTGCTCTGAACCAAAGCATAAGAGAAATACAGCATGGGAGAATTCTCCCCTCAACCCAAAGAAGCTTGCAGTGAGAATAAGTCCTGTTTTTCCATACCCATGCACTAGACTGCATCCCAGCTGGCTAGCCTGCAGAAGAAACACCTACAGTGCATCTCAGAATCTCCTTTTCTGAGCAGAATTATGTCCCCCAGTGATACCAAGAAACCTCCTTTCACATTCCTAGCCCCAAGTGGTGAATCATCTGCTTCCATCCAAATAGCTTCTCTCTCTCTGAGGATTCCACAGTCCCAATGGGTGCTGTTTCAAGAAGCATATCTAATTGCTCTTCTTGTCATTAGTTGAGAATATCCTTTGAGAGAAAACAGAACAAAGAATGTGAGTAAAGTGATGCTGGGATCGTGACTTAAACAATAAGTATACTATTATGTTCTAAATTAATTTTCACATGGCAAATCTCTTCTAAAACTTCAAATAACCTTGTGAGATAGTGTTAATAGTTACATTTTACAGAAGAGGAAAATGAGCCTGATAGACTTGAAGTGACCTGTCCAAGATTACAGAACTCAGGATGTATGCTTTTAAATGAGTACAATAAGTTGTATAACTTAAAATTAACCCAGGAATTCACCTTTTCCTTACTGTTGCCTCAAGAACTTGATGTGACTATATCACATATGTGCCTGGTTTCAAAGACATTCTACAGAATACCCTGACTCTCTCAAGGTCAGTTTTTTTCTATATTCTTACTTATCTACTATACTTTTTCCAGGCAAATCTTACTGACAAGCTTCTGCAAAGCAAAAGAAACCATCAAGAGAGCAGGGAGACAGCCCACAGAATGGGAAAAAATATTTGCCAACTGTATATCTGACAAAGGCCTAACATCTAGGAGA